TATCACTTTCGTCATGTTGACACCGGCTAGCGCCTCCTAGAAGCGAATTTTAGATTATAGAAATTCATAGCTGATATAACAAAGATATTCAGTTACTGGCAAGACGCTTCGCCATTGCATGAGCCGGCACCAGTGTCTTCCTGACCTCATGCTTACCTTTTGAACGCGGAGTCTACGAGTAGAAGGCAGCCCAATAGAATCAAGGTAGAAAGGTTTGCGGTGCCGGATAACGAAAAAAAAACATAAAAACCGTATGCGTCCCGATATATACCCCGGTCCCTTCCTTGCTCGTTGATGCCCGCAAGGATGCGAATCTCATCGGCGCTGCCCTCTTCAACGCTAACGGCGCAGCTCTTCTACACGGTAAGAGACCTGCAGCGAGTGATTAACCAATCGGTGGGCGCAGCGCGCCGTTAAGGTTCAGCTACATCGCCGGGGAGGGGAGGGGGGTGGCGCTGGCAAAATACGTGTCGGTCCCTAAGGAGTCCGCTTGTCCTTTTACTAGGTATATTTCCCTTCCCTGTCCATCGATCACGTCGTAGGATCTCCCTGGAAGCAAAAGATCCTCAAAGGGACATAGCTTTATTACTCATTTTTAGTGCTTGAAGTTGGATTCAGTAAGGCTTCCTAGGTACAATTATTATGGATCGCAAATTGTTACGCCCCTGAACAAATCTCGAAGGCTCATTGCTTCCAAACAATTGCTTGACTTTTGGAGCTGGAGAGGCAGAGCTCTGCTACCGCCTGACTCTGGAAATGGAACCACAAATGCAATTACCTCAACAGGTCTCCATCCATTCAGAGTTTACTGAATTGCGCTACGGTTCTATGAAAGAATAAAACCTGGACTAACGTCATATGTATAACTCGCGCTATTTCTGGTGTTCCCAAACGTATCATCAGATTGGAGAGCATTTTTGGAAGCTGGTCGCATGGGGCATACCGAACAGATTCGTCTTTGCTCTTAATTTGTGCCATCTTAACCTTTGGTTGGCACAGTTCTACAGAAGTTTTGCTTTAACGATTTTTCGCCATTTCTCTGCATCGCTTAGCACTTTTACATTGTTTGTGGTCTTACCTCTTCTTTGTGCGCATACGGTAAAGCGTCTCCGTAAAACGCCTTATAATAGATGGTAGGCGGCTCATTTTCTCTCCGAATTGGTTCAAACGTGACATTCAACGTCAAGCTATAGTCTTTGTCGCCCGGAGCGATGTACTTCTTTGAAATCTGAAAAGTATTCATTCAGCGATCAACATGAAGTGGGCTAAGTTCAAATTCAGTCACTTTGCCATTTGAGCACTATGAAACTATTGAAAGTACACTCTTCAATCAAAACGACGTCGCCATAGCCCCGAAAATAGAAATAAAAAAACAGAAATAGGAGGAAAGCGACAGAGGCTGCGACAGAAGTGAGGCATTCGCCAAAAACGCTTCAAATAAAGCCCCTCCCCAGCTGATTCCAGTAGCTGCATTTCTGCATTCCCAGGTGGTACACTGTTGGATGGAGCCATGGGTGCATACTTGAGCATCAC